AAAAAAAAACGGAAAAATCTTTTTTGTGAATAAATAGCACTTCTTATTTGTCCAGAAAAACAACTACTTCTAGAACCACGTAAAATTGAAATTAACTATTACTATTAATTACCTCGATATTAAATGAAAGGATATATAGATTCGAATTCTAGATTCTTCGAAAACAAATGGATAACAAACAGTGGAAAGAGAAATGTTCCGAATAAAAGTGGTCATGGAAACTCAAAATAATGCAAACATTTCCATTCCAGGAAATCCAATTCGGACGTTTCATAGTACGTGAATGGAACTGCAATTCATCAAAAGATATAGAAAATGATAAAGGAATGGCAACGAAAATGCAGAAAGAATAATAAAAAAAATGCTACTCAAAAAAAAACTCACCTTTCTAAATTTAGTATTTTGCTTCACATAATAATTGCTGCAATTTATTCATTTCAGATTGGAAATAATCCATTTTGATTTAATCTATTGCTATTGACAAGGGAAAAAAACGGAGCGGACAATTGCCGATTTATTCCCTTCAAACTGGCTTATACAATGTGAACGAGCTCAAGGTTACATCCAACCCTAACCTCCTTTATAAATAGTGTTTAAGAGAATTATTAAGTAAACAAACCATATGCTTGCAAGTAAGACTTGCATCACCAGCTAACAACAACCATACCTATTAACTAACCGTAATTGTAATCATCACCAACCCTATATTATCTACTGTGAGGTAAAGTTAGCTGACAAATGGATCCTTGTGTCTATTTTTCCACTGTTTATTATCAGGAACCATACTTCTCACCAAATTAATCTGAACAAAAACTAATCGCAATAACGCTAGTTACGGTTTAGTGCAATATTTATCACAAACTTATCAGGAATGTTCCATATAATTGAACAGAACTGAGTGTGACTATAATAAATCGACTGAAGAGTAATTTGAACTGCCAAAAATTCCATCATTTCCACTCAATAGTCAAGCATCTTGTTTTCAATAAATACAAATTATAACGCAGATTATAGGCAAGTTAGTGGCAGCGGAGAGTTAAAAGAAAATTCAGGTCTGCAGTGAGTGATGATGTAGAATGATAATGTAGAATAAGGGATGCGGTGCAAATTTTATTCGAATTCCTATATAGCATGTCATATCAGAATATCTCGGAGACCGAAAAAAACATTGATAGACATCAGCATTAGAATAGAACAACATTTCATCAACAATATTTACACTCGAAAATCAGTAAGAAACGACCATACAACTGTATGCTTACTTTTATCTTAACCACAGATGCATCCAATCGATGATTACATTGGAAGAATGATGCGAAAT